TATATTATAGAGTAAAATGTTATATATATGTACAGATATATATTAGATATAGGTATAAAGTAATAGATATATATATATATAACAGAGAAATTTATGATAATATATATATAATAAATATATAGCACGCATATGTATATATAGATAGTATATAATAGGAGAGAGAAGATAAGAATATATAATATAATATAGGAGAAGAGAGGAGAGAGAGAGAGAGAGAGAGAGAGAGAGAGAGGAGGAAGAGGAGAGAGAGAGAGAGGAGGAGAAAGAGAGAGAGAGAGAGAGGAGAGAGAGAGAGAGGAGAGGAAGAGAAGAGAGGAGAGAGAAGAAGAGAGAGAGAGAGAGAGAAGAGAGGAAAGAGAGGAGAGAGAGGAGAGAGAGATTGATAGAAGTAAAATAAAGTAGATATTTGTATATAAAACGAGAAGAAGAAGAGAAAACAACACACCAGTACTCTCTCTCTCGCTCAGCTCATGTCTACTCGCTCTATCATCGAAATCCATCTCCTTCTCCCATCCAGAGGAGAGAATCTCAAGAGTCAAAGTACGATCGCTCATGCACGATCATTGCGTAGAAGCAGCAGAAAGAAATAACAGAGTCAGTCATTCTTTCGAGCTATCTCTCTCTCCTGGTGTGTGTGTAATGATGTGGTGATGTGGTGTCTGTGTGTGTGCGTGGTGACGTGTGGTAGTGTGGTATAGATGATGAATATGTATATGTGGGTATGATTATGTATAGTATATATAATATATATAGTATATATATAATATAGATATATATAGTAATATAGTATAAGTAAATTGTATATATAAATATTTAATATATATAGATAGTAATATAATAATATCATATAATATGAATGAGATATATATATGATAAGTATATAAAATAATAGATCGAAGCAGAGAAAATACATGTATTATATATATATATATAGTATATAATATAGTAAGTAGAATATATATGTATAAGAGATGTGTGGTAGTGTGTGTGTGTGTTGTGTGTGGTTGTGTGTGTGTGTGCTGTGTGTGTGTGGTGATGGGTGTGTGGAGTGTATGTGTATGTGTGTGTGTGTGTGTGTGGTGTAGTGTGTGTGTGTGTGTTGTGTGTTAAGAGTAAAATATATATATAAGAATTATGATATATAATAGTATTTATAATAATATATGGGTATGTATGTAATGGTATAATATAACATATTATATAATTTACATGATATTGTACAATATATAATATGAAGTAATAGTATATAAATAATGATATGAAATAACTATAAATGAATATAGAGTAGTATATAAAATATATATATAATATAATATAGTAAGTGTGTGTAGATGTGTGTCGTGTGTGTGTGTGGTGTGTTCGCTTGTGTGTGTGTCTGTTTTGTGTGTGTATGACTATAACACATGGAGATATATTACGAGAATAGATTCCGAACTGTTGTCTTCCTTCTCAGTAAATAATAGTCTGTGCATTGTGGGTTTTTACTGCCCATAAGAATCTTTATTAGCACCGGATTAGAATGTTGCTTTCTCTTTCCACTTTATATATATATAAAATCATATAATATATACTATCACTATACTATATATTTATATATACATATATATATATGTATATATATATATATATATATATATATGTATATATATATATATAGTATAATATATATATATATATATATATATATATATATATATATATATATATTATATATATATATATATATATATGTAATGTATGTATATATAAATATATATATATAATATATATATATGATATATAATATATATATATATATATATATATTATATATGTATGTTGTGTGTGTGTGTGTGTGTGTGTGTGTGTGTGTGTGTGGTGTGTGTGTGTGTTTGTGTGTGTGGTGTGTGTGTGTGTTGTATAAATAATAAATAAATATATATATATATATATATATATATATATATATATATATATATATATATGTATATACATACATACACACACACACACTTGTCAATTCGTACTCTGCCATACGCTGTTTTTAGAACTGCGAATGCCCCAAAACTTCCTCCCCTTTTATGGCGCAGCGGTTAAGTTCTGCCCTTTCTGGTACTCGCCGCCCTGTCAAAGGCGAGTTCGGGTCCTTGCCAGGGAGGGTATATAAGTCAATATCTGCCTGTGTATCTGTTTATAAAGCCTTCCTATTCTTCTTATAATCTAGTCTTATCTCAGCGCATACAATCCACGTGGGAAACCTTATACTCATCCTCGCCCATAACCGCGTGGAACCGAAACGTACCGCTGGGGACCGTAAAACACGAAGCAAAGCAAGCGAAGCCGACAGTGTAAACAGCGGTGCTTGTTGCGAAGCCCCTGGAAAGCCTGATGAAGCCTGTGTGATATGAGATCGAGTCCTGGGGTTCCGGAAGCCCCAAGATGACTGCAGGTTCTTGCTTTTTCTTGTGATGTAACTAAGAAGGATATTTTTTGACAGTTTGAGAAGTGTGTGTGTGGGAGGGGGGGGGTGCGTGCTTGTAAGTGTGTGCTTGGAGGAATTGATGTGTGTGTTTGCGTTTATGAATGTTTATGTTTATGTGTTTATCATGCTTCCTGCGCCATTGTTGTAGTCAAGCAAACAGAAATTATGATAACAATAATAATGGTAATGAAAGTTATGATAATAATAATGGTAAAAGTAATGATGATAGTAAAGATAAAAGTAATAATGATAATAATGATACAAATAATGATAATCTGTGTGTGTGTGTGTGTGTGTGTGTGTGCGTGTTGAAGAGTAGATAAACACACATATGCATGAAGATGAACACCCAAACAGGAAACTGAAATAATCCGACTTATATTTTATTTTATTTTTGAATCTTGAAATATAAATTCATGAAACATTTAGATCATAAAATCGTACCATGCATAATACAATATATATGTATAGGAGACTCGGAGGATCTACAATAAAACAAAAGTTACAAATATTATAGATGATGGGACAAACAATCTATTATGAATCCTGACTTTGCATATGATTAAAGAAGGGAAAAGGAATAATATTTAAGGAGAATGAAAAAGAAATATGAAATGATAAATTTAGGGATAGTGCGTAGAAGAAGAGGAAGAAGACTGAAGAAGAGGAAGAAGAAGAGGAGAAAGAAAAAGAGAGATAGGAAGAACGATGATAATAAGTGTAAGAAGAAGAAGAAACAGAGCAAATGTGAATAGACAACAAGAGGGAGAAATAAAGAGAGAAAGTGCATTAAAACCATAAATCTGCGAGCTATGATAAATATCTTATATTTTATCACACAACAAACGAATAATAAAAATATACAGAACAATAACAGTATGGTAATATACATCAAAATAAATATAGTAAGAACAGCACAACCATAAATCTCAAAAAATGTACATAATTATAGACCATAAAACCTATTTTCTCTTTAGATACATTTCGAAAACACAAACCTATCATAATTATTGAACTTTGGGTTCCAATGCCACCATACATATGCAGTCATACTGGACAACTTGCAAACACTTCAGTTCTTTGGTATAATATGAAAAAAGAAGTCCATATAACTGGACTTTGGTGCAGAATATAATTATTGGCAAATATGAAATTCATGCATAAAAGGAGATTAGAAATTTTGATCTTTTCATGATGTTTTATGCTGTGTACTGTACAAACATACTATATAACCACGTCTCTACATATGCATATGCATAATGTATGTGAGTCCATATAGATGTGTGTGTTTATATATATATATATATATATATATATATATATATATATATATATTATATATATAATATATATATATATATATATATATATATATTATATATATAATATATATATGTACGTGTGTGTGTGTGTGTGTGTGTGTGTGTGTGTGTGTGTGTGTGTGTGTGTGTGTGTGTGTGTGTGTGTGTGTGTGTGTGTGTGTGTGTGTGTGTGTGTGTGTGTGTGTGTGTGTGTGTGTGTGTGTGTGTGTGTGTGTGTGTGTGTGTGTGTGTGTGGAATCACATACAATAAATGTATGCATATATATGTGTATTTATATATATATATATATTATATATATATATATATATATATATATATATATATATATATATGCATGTATGTTTGTATTTATATAATATATATATATATATATATATATATATATATATATATATATATATATATATATATATATATATATATATATATATATATGTATATATATATATATATATATATATATATATATATGTATATATATATATATATATATATATATATATATATATATATATATATATATTATATATATATATATATATATATATACACACACACACACACACACACATATATATATGTGTGTGTGTGTGTGTGTGTATGTATAATTTGATATAACGCTGTAAAGAGGATAAATGTAACCTGCAAAATCCATTGATATAAAATGCTATTATCATTGTATTTAGTAAACATAATAATCTTATTGAAAATTGAAGATGCTTCCATACAAAGCAATATTCTTAAGAACTGCCTACTATGATAATAATAATTGTTCCCACCTTATTAACAACAGGAAGAAATATTTGAAGGTAAATCACAGATGAAATCTAATACTGTATATCTTATAAATATGTACAAAAATGTAGAAGAAGGGGGAGGGGGTAGAGGGGGGGGGGTTATGAAATGTGTACACGTGCAAATCCAGCATCTTTGAAAATGTCGACTAAAAGATGATTCTGTCATTTCTTTTGTTTTTCTCTATTTTTGCTTTCTTTTTTTGCTTTTTCTTTCATTTTTGATGCTGTGAATATTAGGGCTATATCAGATTGGTTATAGAATATTGATGATTTTAATTCGAAAAGGAATGAGTTGACAGTGAAATCGAGGTCTCGAAAATAATACAAATATGGCAATGATGACGAGGATGATACCAACAGACGGATGAAGCCAACAGAGATATATGAAACGGAATAACAACAGAGACAAATGAAACGGAATAACGAACAACAGAGACAAATGAAACGGAATAACGAACAACAGAGACAAATGAAACGGAATAACGAACAACAGAGACAAATGAAACGGAATAACGAACAACAGACAGACAAATGAAACGAAATGAATAACGAAAGAACAAACACAAACGAAACACACGAATAAATGGATGAAGAGGGCATCGAAAGCCCCCCTAAGAAGACATCAAGAGCCAACCCCGAGGACCCGCCCCTTCTCTCTAGACCGCCCTCTTTTCGTCGACGATCAGGGGCCCGTTCTCGTCCCTCTCGTCGTCCTCGTCCTCCTCGTCGATCGTCAGCCGGCCCGACTCGACGATCCGGAAACACTCGAGGAATTCGTTGAAGTCGATGTAGCCGTCCTTGTTGATGTCGATCGAGCGGGCCAGGTCGGTGATGTCCTCCTTCGGGATCGGGACGTCGATGTGGCGGCTCAGCAGCTCGCACGTCTCGCTGAATTCGTCCATGCTGATGTAACCTTTGGGGGGAGAAGTTGGTTATTAGTAAGGTCTTGTGTGAATATTAATAAATGGTTAATTAATGGAGATGTGGATTTGTGCATGCTGATGTAACCTTTGGGGGGGCAGTTGGTTATTAGTATGTTCTTGTCTGAATGTGAATAAATCATATATTAATGGAGATATGGATTTGTGAATGCTGATGTAACCTTTGGGGGAGGCAGTTGTTAGTAAGCTCTTGTGTGAATATTAATAAATGGTTCATTAATGGAAATGTGGATTTGTGCATGCTGATGTAACCTTTCGGGGAGGCAGTTAGTTATTAGTAAGCTCTTGTCTATATATATGAATAATGGTGCATCAGTGATATGCATTCGTCCATGCTGATGTAACCTTTGGGTGAGGCAGTTGTTAGTAAGCTTTTGTGTGAATATTAATAAATGGTGCATAAATGGAGACGTGGATTTGTGCATTTTGATGTAAGAAGTAAGCTCTTGTGTGAATATTGATGAATGGTGCATTAATAGAGATATGGATTAGTTCATGCTGATGTAACCTTTGGGGGAGACAATTAGTTATAAGTAAGCTCTTGTGCGAATATGAAAAAACATGATACATCAATGGATTTGCTTTATTATGATCACTGTTATGATGATGATACATTAATGGATATATAAATTTGTGAATGCTGATGTAACCTTGGGGGAGGCAGTTCGTTATTAGTAAGCTCTTGTCTGAATATAAATAAAAGATTAATGGAGATATGGCTCTGTGCATGCTGACGTGGGAGTTAGGTAATGGTTACTTAGCTCATGTGTGAATATAAATAAAATATACATTGATGGAGAAAGGGATTCGTGCATTTTGATGTAGGAGTCATGTTGATTGACAAGCTCATGGCAAGATATGAATAAATGATACACTAGTGGAGAAATAGATTTGTCCAAGCTGTCAGAATTGAAAGGCATTGATTGAAGGAGTTATCGATGGTAAGATAAGGAGTGAATTAACGAATAAATAAATGTAATCTGAAGTTCAACTGACAATTCTAGATTTTAAGTTAACGTCGAGGACAGTCGGAGGAAATATGGACGATAAATAAATCACTTTTGATATAAATAGATAAAGACGTATAAAATAGATCGATAAATAGAAAACGTGGTCTATAAATGAGAAATAAAAATGAATAAATAGACAATGAGAGTTAGAGAAAGAACATGAAGAAAGACAAAGGAGAGAGAGAGAGAGAGAGAGAGAGAGAGAGAGAGAGAGAGAGAGAGAGAGAGAGAGAGAGAGAGAGAGAGAGAGAAAAGAAAGAAAGAAAGAAGAGAAAGAAAGAAAGAAAGAAAAGAGAGAGAGAGAGAGAGAGAGAGAGAGAGAGAGAGAGAGACAGACACACAAACAGACAGAGACAGAAAAAGAGACAAAGACAAACACAGAGAACACAACTTACCTGAATTATCTTTATCGATTAACCTGAAAATCGTTTCCAGACTACTCTTGTGTCTATAAAGAGCTTCGACCACCGTGGGCCCGCCCTGGAGGAACAAAAGACAGCATAAGCACTCTGTTTAATTTCATTTGTTAATAAATCTTTTATGTGTGTTTCTTGGCGGAGATGGTGTTTGATTCTGGATAATTTGCTGTTGTTGTTGTTGTTGTTGTTGTTGTTTGTTGTTGTTGTGGTGGTGGTGGTGGTGGTGGTGGTGGTGGGTGGGTGTTGTTGTTGTTGTTGTTGTTGTTGTGTTGTTGTTTTGTTGTTGTTGTTGTTGTTGTTGTTGTTGTTGTTTGTTTGTTTGTTTGTAAGTTGTTGTTCTATGACCCTTGTTATGATGGTGAACAGTTGCAATGTCATCATAGCAATGATTATGATCATAGTTACCCTTATTCTCCGTCATTATGATCGTTACAATAATTGTTTAATGTTTTATTATTGTCATTTTTATATACTCATGATACTAGTAGTATCACTGAGTATCATTTGTGTTACATCACGATAATCAATATTCAAATTCTGAACTGCACATTATTAATATTAATTTCGAACCTCACTTCATTAGCATTAATCCTGACCTTCATATATTTAGCATTAGTTCTCAACCTCATATCATTAGCATTATTTTTCAACCTCATATCCTTAGCATTAACCATGACCCTCATATCATTAGTATCAATTACAACCCTCATGTCATTACCATTAATTCCTCACCACATACCATTACCATAAATTCCGAAATTCTGAACCTCATTCACCATAGCCATCACCCCCTTTCCCCTTCCCCTTCCCCTTCCCCTTTCCCCTTTCCCCCTTTCCCCTTTCCCCTTTCCCCTTTCCCCTTTCCCCTCCCCTTCCCCCTTCCCCCCCCCCCCTACCCCCTTCCCCCTTCCCCCCTCCCCCTTACTCACCTTCACGGCCAAATTCTTCTTAAAAGTTTCTTCGCTGAAGGTGCTCCTATAATCGACCATATCTGTGATAGGATGCAGCGTCACTATCTTCTCCCTCAGCACTCGCCACGGCAGGTTGAGGTGACTCTCCCTCTCCATCACTTCCACCCAGTCACTCACGGTGATGTAGCCTGGAGGAAGAAGAGAGGAAGAGAAGTAGAGGATGATAGGAGAAGGAGAGGTTGAGTGAATGTGATGTAGCCTGGAAGGGGAAAGAGAGAGGAAGAGAAGTAGAGGATGATAGGAGAAGGAGAGGTTGAATTAATGTGATGTAGCCTGGAGGAAGAAGAGAGGAAGAGAAGTAGAGAATAATAGGATAAGTAGAGGTTGAATGGAATGGGAAGAAGAAAGGAAGAAAAATAGAGAAATGTAGGATAAGGAAAGATTGAATTAATGTGATGTATCCTGGAGGAAGAAGAGAGGAAGAGAAGTAGAGGATGATAGGATAAGGAGAGGTTGAATGGAAGGGGAAGAAGAGAGGAAGAAAAGTAGAGAAATGTAGGATAAGGAAAGATTGAATTAATGTGATGTAGCCTGGAGGAAGAAGAGAGGAAGAGTAGAGAATAATAGGATAAGTAGAGGTTGAATGGAAGGGGAAGAAGAAAGGAAGAAAAATAGAGAAATGTAGGATAAGGAAAGATTGAATTAATGTGATGTAGCCTGGAGGAAGAAGAGAGGAAGAGAAGTAGAGGATGATATGATAAGAAGAGGTCGAAGGAATGTGATGTAGCCTGGAGGAAGAAGAGAAGTAGAAAATAACAAGATAAAGAAAGGTTGAATGAATGTGATGGAACCTGGAAGAGGAAGAAGAGAGGAAGAGAAGTAGAGAATAATAGGATAAGGAAAGGTTAAATGAAGGAAATATCATTTATCATTTGAAGGGAAACTTATGGACTGTGTGAAGGGAAAATTGTGGAATCTTTGAGGGGAATTCAATCTTAATTTGATGGGAAAGTTGTAGGTTATATGCAGAAAAAATCATATAGCATTTGATGGGAACGTAGATTAATTGAAGAAAGAAAATATGGATCTTTTGAAGTTAGAATTATGGATCATTTAATGTGAAATTTATGGATCATTTGAAAGGAAAATTAAGGATCATTGGAAAGGAAAATGATGGATCTTGAGTTACAGTTATGAATCTTCTTTAGTTAAAATTATAGGTCATTTGAAGGAAAAATTATAGATCACTTGTTTTGATCGGAAAATGAATCAACTGAAGGGAAACTTAAGGTTTACTTGAACAGAAAATTATGGATCCTTTAAAGGAAAATTATGGAATATTCGAAGGAAAATTATGGAATATTTAAGGGGAAAATGGATCATTTGAGGAAAAAGTTAAGGATCTTTTTAAAGAAAAATTATGGGTTATTTTAAGAGAAAATTATTGATAATTTGAAGGGGAAATGGGTCATCTGAAGAAAAAATCAAGGGTTATTTAGGCAATTATGGGGTTTACTGCCATAAAGATTCTTTTAAACTAGTTTTAGATTTAGGTTTAGCGTTTTCTTAATAAGGTTTGCATTAATTTCAGTCTTTCATAGGACTTATATGAGAGGAAGATTGAAATGTAAAGGGACTGCGTAAAAGTGACGGGTTTTATCAAGTAAAATCCTGTTTTATTTATTTAGTAGTAGTAGTAGTAGTAGTAGTAGTAGTAGTAGTAGTAGTAGTAGTAGTATCAGTAGTAGTAGTAGTAGTAGTAGTAGTAATAGTAGTAGTAGTAGTATTTATTATCATTATTATTATCATTATTATTCAGCTTTCCCTATTGTCATTATTACAGTCATGTAGTCTGAAATAAGAATGTACCTTAAACGAAAAATGGATGATTAGGTAAGAAGTAAAGAGATTTGGTTATGTAAAGAACCAATAACTTTCAGTTTTAGATAACATAATAATTGGTTCTCTGGAAACAAAACAAAACAAAACAAAAAAAGAAACATGATTAGGTGACATTTTTTTATTCAGTTCCCTCTTTCCTCATTCAGAACGGGGAAGGAGACAAGTTTAAAAGGAAAAATATATCTCAGTAGGTAAAAGTTTTCGTTCTTGGAAGTTTTAGTAAAGAAGCCTAAGGAGAAGAGCGGATAAGAGGGAACTTAACTAACTAAAACGGTATTAAGTTTTGTTTTGAAGAGTCTTCGTTATATCTGGAGTAGTACTGTAGCAATGGTAAGATTAAATAGGTACTGGAAGCGTGTTATTACTTCTTTTACTGTGCTTTCTTGTTTTTCTTCTTCTTCCTCTTCTACTAGGAAACACTAGTAATTTATAAATGACTTAGTTCTTAAAATCAGTGTCATTGTTCTCTCAGTTTATATAAAAAGTATTTGTTTGCCTTCTATTCATTTAGCTATTACGTACCAGTTATAGTATTTGTTTACTTTCTATTCACTTTCCAGTTATAATAATCATAATAATCTCTTCGTACTTTTATATTTTTACTTATTATATCATCATCTCCCTACTCAGAATCATATCAACACCCCTTCCCAATCTAACTCACTTCCTACAAGTCCTCCTTAACGATTCTCTCACCTACGACTCACACAGCCTCTCCCTACCTTTGTTGTCCTTGTCCTTCTGCTGGAATGCCTGAAGGAGCCTGGACTTCGAAGCGTTGATTTGACACCGTAGTTCCCTGAAGGCGGAGGTCTCCATCCTTCCCACGCGTTCTCTTATGGTCAGTTTTCGGGACCTGCGAGTGGGGGGAGAGAGAGGGAGAAGGAAGGAGTTATGATGGTGTGGTTAAGCATTTGAGACGGGAGTGTAAAAGGTGGAGGGATGGTTTGGTGGAAGATAAACATGTGTTGAGTGAGAGAAAGGGATAGGGAGAGGGAGAGAGAGAGAGAAAAAAAAAAGAGTATAGAATGAAGCGTATTCATGTTGACAAATGTAGAAAAGGAGGGAGGGAGGAGAGAGAGAGAGAGAGAGAGAGAATGAAGCGTATTCATGTTGACAAATGTAGAAAGAGGAGGAGAGAGGAGAGAGAGAGAGAGAGAGAGAGAGAGAGAGAGAGAGAGAGAGAGAGAGAGAGAGAGAGAGAGAGAGAGAGAGAGAGAGAGAGAGAGAGTATAGAAATTTGTTATATATTCACAATACAAGAAATGTGTATCTTCCATACCTTCTCTACAAGAGCATAGAGATTTGCAAGAAGAAAGCCCAAGAACCTACTTCATATCTGCCGTGTACTGGACGAAGTGAGGTTCCAGCCGAGGCCCCTGGAGCTTGACGTAGGCTCCTCTGTTGGACCCAGCCTCGTAGTAGTTGGAGGCCGAGAAGATGGTCAGACACTGTGGAGAGGCGGAGGCTACTTGGATGGAGGCTTTTGGAGGTCATCTCAATGTTTATTTTGTATTTGCTTTTGGTTTGTTTTTTTCTCTCTCTCTTTAATTACCTGGCATCTCTCTATAGCTGTATGGTATTTCTCTAATCTGGCATTTTTCTTTAGTTATCTGGCATTTCTCTATAGCTATGTGGCAATTCTCTTTAGTTATCTGTTGTTCTCCTTTGCGTAGTTGTATTTTTTTCGATTGTTTTAGTGTCTTTTCGTCATTAAAGAATTTTGCTTGTGAATACGAGGATAGACAATCAAAGCAATCAAATGTGTATTATCATCATAGCTAATAAACTAATTTTTATCATTTTCTATATATCATCATA